ACATGGTATAACTTATGTTTCAACAAGTTTTTCTTTAGTTTTGAACCTCGTTGAAAGAGGGGATTTTCCCATTCTCCCCACCCCGCCTGAGATCTTCCCTAAGAAAAACTATATTATTCGTTGTTTAGGAGAACAACAGTGTCCTGTAATAATTTCTTGGAAATCTAACAATTTCAGATGGCAAATACCTACATTTATATAAATATATTATTATTAACATTTTCTCATAAAAAATATAGGGACGTTATCCTGATCTCCATAACATACAAACATACAGACTTGGTGATATTGATTAAACGTAAACTGCAAAATATGCGGAGAATTCGATGAATCAACAGGAATTTTTTTATGGGGACGGGGATTTTCTGAACTAATAGACAATTTCAAGCATTTACCACCCTCGCGATGTGCTCGCCCACCAACGGGGTTGTATGGGTTTCGTGGAGTCTATCTCCCCCCTTCACCGAAGCCAGATTACTATTGGAATCTACGGTAGGTGCGACGCGCTGTTGCCAGGTTAACGGCGTTGGATATCCTCATTTTTATCAGATATTCTGAATAATGTTAATAATTATGGTGGACTAAAAGCTACAATTTTGGGTATGTGTTTTGTTGAGTTCATTGAGTCTTCAATAACGGAAACATTGATTTTGGTAGTACACGGCGGGATATCACTCATTATCATTTATAGTTAGTAGATAGTGGCGGTTAGGTTAGGAATAGAAAATAAAAAATACCCGAAAAGACATGATAGTTTTAACAGACATACAGAATTAAATAATTAACTCACAACAATAGAACAAGAAAACCGGGAATACTGAAAGACGCAAATGGGAAACTTGTGTTGAATACTAATGACAAATTAAAGAGATGGACAGAATACCTTAATGAACTGTTCAAAGACAATAGAACAGAGAAGATGGAGATAGAAGTAACAGTAAAGTAAACAGCAAAAATGGTAAAGCAGTAGGTCCAGACCAAATCCCTATAGAAATTTAAAAATGCATAAATGATGAAACCTGAGACATTATAGTAGACTTATTTAACTCAGTATACAAAACAGGACACATACCTAAACAATGGTTACTCTCCATCTTTTGTGCTATCCCTAAAAAAAAAACAAACGGTAAATATTGCAGTAAATACAGAAAAATATCACTAATAAGTCACATTCTCAAATTATTCTTGAAAATAATGTATGGTCGTATAAATAAAAAACTAGAAGTAGGAATAGATGATAGATTGGGTTCAGAACGGACTAGGAACCAGAGAAGCGTTATTTGCTTTTAATGTGTTAGCTCAAAGATGCGTGGATATGAATGTTGATGTGCATGTTTGTTACGTTAATTTTGAAAAAGCATTTGACAAAGTAAGACATGAAAAATTAGTCCAAATTCTAAAGACAAAAAACATAGACTAAAGGGACTTACGAATAATAACAAACTTCTAGTGGAATCAAAGAGCACAAATCGTAATAGATAACGAACCCAGTCCAAAAATTGAAATCAGGAGAGGAGTTAGGCAGGGATGTATTATATCCACATTACTATTTAATGTATATAGTGAAGCCATTTTTGAAGAAACATTACTATCTCAAAAAAGTGAAGGAATAATAATTAACGGACGATCTATTGACAACATAATATATGCAGATGACACCGTGATTATGGCAAGCCCTGTTGAACAACTTCAATTACTGCTAAACAAAACAAACAGTTTCTGTGAAAAATATGGACTAAAAATGAATATAAAAAAGACCATATACATGATAATAACAAAGAAAACAAATATACCAAGAAACATACATTTGGGAAATGTACTGATAGAAAGGGTTGATAAATATAAATACCTAGGCACCTGGATTTCAGACAATAATGATCAAACAACCGAAATGAGAGCCAGGATAGAAATGACAAGAAATGCGTTTGTAAAAATGAAAACAATTCTCTGCAACAAAAGCTTGGACCGCTACTTTTTTGTGTCTACACTAGTGATCTTCCGCTCATTGTATCCAGTAAGGTTTCCATTTACGCTGATGACACGGAGTTATATGTGAATCCAACTATTAACCAACATATTCTTCTACAAGATCTTGACGCAATATTCAAATGGTCCTCAGAATGGTTACTTCCGCTTAACATTGAAAAATGCGTTGTTTTACATATCGGCAAAAATAACCCATCACTGCCGTACTTTATTAATGGACATCCTTTAAACTCTGTAACCTCACACAACGATCTCGGAGCGATAATTAATAGTGACTTAAATTGGTCTGATCACATAGTGTCGGTGTGTAAACGTGCTAACTCGAAACTGTTTTTGATCCGTAAATGTTTTGCACGCATATCTCTAACCTCTGTTAGTAAACTTTACTCAATATACGTTAGACCTATTCTTGAGTTTGCCGGACCAGTGTGGAATCCAGATCTTAGTCGCGATAAAATCCTACTTGAAAACGTTCAGCGTAAAGCCACAAGACTTGCAAACGGCAGTGTAAGACCTAACTATGAAGATAGACTATTCGTGGCTCATCTTACGACATTCGAGCAGCGACGTCTTCGAGGTGACCTAATTATGTCCTTCCGTATTTTAAAACATAATTTTGGGAACCTAAACACCATATTCACTTTAAATCAAGACGAAAGATTAAGAGGCCATCGATACAAATTAAAGAGGGAACAAACTACTGCAAGGTCCAGGGTGAACTTCTTGCCAAACAGAATCTTTAATATCTGGAACAATTTGGATCAAGACACCATATCGGCAGCTAGTGTTAACGTCTTTAAAAATAAACTTGATAGCGCTTTATTTTTTTATAGGATAGGATATTTTTTCTCGGACAGCATTATTTATTTATTTATTGTGTCACAATTCAATTTTTGTTAATTTGTTTAACTGTACTTAACTTTATAATTAGTATTAGTTTTATAAGGATATATTTTATTTTTGTTTATTTTTGCTTTTTGGGCATAATAGGAGCTTGCTCTTCTGCCCTTATTTGTTATATAATAATAATAATAATAATAACACTGTGCACTGTAATCGCACTGTGCTCACAGACCAAACTGTAGCACATAATAGACCAGATCTCGTGCTAGTTCATAAACTAACAAGACAAACAACTCTAATCGATGTGGCGATACCTAACGACAATAATCTGCGTGTTAAGTACAACGAAAAGATCGCTAAGTACAGAGATCTGGAAATACAAATAACAAGACAATGGAGAATGGAAAGTACCCAGACGATACCTATTATTCTTTCTACCACTGGAGTCATTCCGAAGAACCTCCTAGAAAACATAAAAAAGCTGTGTACGAAATGTGTACGAAAATTTTTGGGAGATACTCCAACATACCAAGTCACCTAGGGCTCGATAACACGGAAAGAGTCCCTCCAGAGCTCAATTCTTTTGATACCGTAGGTATCTGGGATGAGTGAATTTTCCCCTTAGAGGGAGTGTGAGCCGTATGGCTAAATCTGGATAATAATAATAATAATAACAAAGACCTTAGATTCGAACTGAGAGTAAGAGCACTGAGATGTTACGTGTTTTCGATACTGCAATATGGACTTAAAAGCTGGACATTGAAGCAAGAACACATAAATAAGTTACAGGCCTTTGAAATGTGGTGTTACATGAGGATGCTTAGAATGGCATGGACACAGAAGAAAACTGACACGGAACTATTGCGAGAAATGGGCAAAGAATGCAAAATAATAAACACAATAAAAATAAGAAAGTTACAATATCTAGGACACGTAATGAGGGGACAGCGATATGAACTGCTAAGGCTCATAATACTGGGAAAGATAAAAGGAAGAAGGAGTATAGGAAGAAGGAGAGTGTCATGGTTGAAGGGATTTAAGGGCTGGTTTAAATGCAGTTCTATAGAACTCTTCAGAGCAGCAGTAGATAAAGTAAAGATAGTGATGATGATATTCAACCTCCGATTGGGAGACGGCACTTTAAGAAGAATAAGTGGCGGTTACAGTTCTCTCAAATATAAAACTGTAGGGGAGGGTGGTCCACAATGAGACAAAAATCATATTTCTTAATAACTCTGAGTTTTTATTTTTGTTTTACATGTAATTTCCCATAAGTCATATCTCCAACACCTAGTGCTTCATATTACCCCCCCTGTCGGGAATATGACGCAAAAGTTGACTTTTTGTTTTTTAAATTATAGTAATTCTTATTATAGGATTTAGCTGGAATTTATGCTGTGAGTACCTGATAGTACTAGGTGTCATAACGACTAATCAACATGTTATTATCGGTATTACCGTTTGAGATCTGCCAAAACCTCGAATTGTGCGTCATATCCCCTAAGTGGTTTCCACATTTTATAACTTTATAATTTCACCCCGTACTATTAATAATAGACTCTACATAATATAATATTTCACTGTTGTTAAGAAGCTTTTAAAAACATAAAAATATACAGGGTGTTTCATTAAAAATAAAGATGATACACTATGCTAGACTTACGCGAATCACCCTGTATGTTATATCAAAACGCAAAGCTTTTGCGTTTTCTTTTTAGCTGTCCAATAATGTCCAGTTTTATAAGGTATATTTCTTCCAGCTCATGAAGATTGTTTGTCTTTTGTCTTTAGACAAGAGTATTGAGATGCTTAGTTCAGTTTTTCATTTAGACGATTTTTGTCTCCGCCAAATCTATGACATTTGATGTCATTATTGTAGACCGAGAATCAATGTAAAATAAAACACTAAATAAAGACCACAGAAAGGTCATAAACAATTGTTGCAATTTTAAGAAATCTTAGACAACAGCTGAATTAATAAATTGTTATTTTACAGTTTTTTTGTTATAAATACATATATGCTTGTGCGTATTGTTTATAAATTATATATATTAAATCTAATTATATTTACTTTCTATATCTTCATTAATAAATAACCGTTTCTATGTAAACTTCCAATAAATATTTATTATTCCTGTACCATCCTGACATTTAGGGAATTTTGAAAAGCGCGGCATCACCGCCGACGTATAAAACCCTGTCTGTGCTTACAGGGGGGCGCAAAGCACAGCGAGCGATTTCTTGCGGGTCCATCGACATAGACATTAGCCATTGCCATTCAGTCGAAGCTCTAGAATCGCAGTAGTTGAGTGCGCGTTCAAACCGGAAGCCGACCGACACAAAATCGACAGAATCGCTATTGAACGATCAGTCTTGTTTTCACAAAAGCCGGGTGTGCAAAAAGTGGCCGGTCCTTGCAAATTTCAAATCAAACGGAATTTTCAGTGAAAGAAGTCGACGATCTGTCCTTTTTGGTCTTCGTTTTTCTTAAAAGGTAAGATTATATTGCTGGTTTTTGTTTTCTATTTTCGGTTTTTATTTGTGTGTTTTTGTTTACAAATTGAACTTTAAACGTGTTCAGGTAGATTGATAAAAAATTCAATATTAGAATCATTTATGTCTTTGGATTTAGATTAAAAATTGTTCTTTAATCAAAGTGAATAATAGGGATATAAAGTTATGTTTGCATTGTCAAAATAAATACAATCAATCCTTTTGGTACTGTCTATCTGTCATCCAATACTTTCTTTCAAACTCCTGTCAGTTGATTAAATAAAATATTTCTTTCTTTTTCTACCTTTTCTGTTTTTTATCATAAAATAATAGTCGCTAGAAGCAATTAAATTAATTTATGCTAAATGCACATTTATATACCATGTATATCGAGATTGTATTTTTTCGAATTCAATGTGTTTAAAAATTTAGTAATGATCCAGGAGTTTTTGTGCCCACAAGTGTCGTGTTTCGCCTTTTCCCAAAACAAATACAGACAAGAATAATCGATCCTACAAGAACCGACCAATGGAACGAAGATTATTAGAAACATTTAACATAAGAGCTAAATGAATTATTGAATGAACTTATTATTGTATTAACATTTCTACTCGATTTGAAGAAGACATAGTTTTGGTCGTTTCTTAAATTTTTCTTCCTGTGCTATGATGTATCTTTTGCCAAGTGGGTAGAGTTTGGAGGATATTGTAATCAGAGCTCAGTTTAATATGCATCAAAAGTTGAAGAAAAATGCTCCTATAAATGCTCCTATAATTATTTAAAGGTTAATGAAAAGGGCCGTAACTCAATAAAAACTGTTTTTTTGAAAAAAGTGATAAGCGGCAAAAAAAATTTAAAAATAATGTGTTAAACTAATGATACCACAAAATTCATTTGATTTGAACGTACTCAAAAGTTTGGGGGGATTTAGGGCTGCACACCCCCTTAAAATTTTTCTGTGCGCTTAGATTTTGTTGTTTCTTTTGTATGAAAAATGCTTTCAGAACAAGAAAGTAACGTGTTAATTTTTATTACAAAATGTCAAGTAGTTTAGGTGATAATGCACAATTTTTATTTTGTAACTTCAAAAGGCTGTAACTTTTTTTGTGTACACTTTTGTACTAAGGTAAGTTGGATTAAATTATTTTATTTTTGTCCCTGGAATGCGTGATTTAGTTTATGACATACCTTTTTGAAACACCCTGTATTCACACAATAAAACATTAGTAACATAATAAATTAATAATTAAATATTGTTAAAATTTTATCATTAATAGCTACAATTAAACGGTTTTCGATATGTTCGGTCTTTAAACCATGTCTTCAATCGCTTAAAATTAATTTGTACATTGAAAATGAATGTTCTACATCGACAAATGTAATTGGAGCATATTACTTGTATTTTAACAATGATTTCCGAAGTGGAAATTGAAACGTCACATAAAATAATTTTAAATAAAATTGTGGCTTATTCCCAACAAAAATAGTAAACTTATTAACTCTTGTCAAAAACATATTTATTTTTTTTAATTAATTAAAATTATTTTTACTTATCTTACCGACTCACATAGATTTACTTGATGTCTTTCTAATAAGGGAATTATGGTAACTACAGTACAGCCCAAAATAAACAGTACTCAACTTGTAATTATTTTGTTGTTTTAAAAAATACATATTATTGACACTTTATAACATGCTCTAAATGAGCTCCTCTTCTCTCAAGACAGACTTCATGCCGATATTCCAGATTTCTCCTAATGTTATGAAATAAAGATTGTCTCAAGTTTGCGAAGAAGGCTCTAACGGCATACTTTAACTCATTCATGGTTTGTGGTGCCCGTTTAAAAATAACAGTTTTAGCCATGCTCCAAATGTATGCGTCTGGAGATGTTAAGTCCAGACAATGTGCAGGATAGGGGAAGTCAGTAAATCGTGAAATAAATTTGTTTGGAAAATATCCCTAAAGAAATTGACGAACTCCGACAGCAGTATGGCAAGTTGATGTTGATGTATCTGAATCACATACGAAACTGAACCCAACTCCTTCAGGATTCTTTGCAAGGAAGTTCGTTTTAAGCCAAGATGCACGCTGTTCTAGTCTGGCTGGCTTTCGGATTTTCCAAGATTTGCTTAAAAATACGTTCATGGTTATCGCTGTTTTTAACTGTCCTGGGACTTCCTGAGTTTCCTTTTCGTTGGCACAATACCCGTATTTCTAAACTTTTCAACAAACTTCAAAATCACAGCATTATTTGGAGAACAGTTATTAAACCGTTGTGTGAATTAATCACACACGTATTGCAGACTTGCAATATTACGTCGGCCGATTCCGTATGAGCGAAAATAATGCTCCATAAGAAACACTTTCTCCTCTGTACTTAACATTATTTTTAACAATTAGTCCTTAATAATTAATTGTTTAAGGATTACTTGACAGGTCTATACTAGTTAATTTGAATATCACAGCGCGTACAAAGAGACATCTATGTTTCAGTTTCAGTACTGTTTATTTTGGGCAATACTGTATTATAAGTCAGTCATCAGAGGTTTGACCTCTAAATATCATAAGAATAAGCTGAATTATGCCGAGAATATTAATTTTGGGATCCCAAAAAAGATGTAAAAAAGTTTCCCACTTTAACCTCCGGGCTCTTCCCTAAAACCCCCACCCGTAGTAGGGTAAAAACGCAAAAAATCGATTTACCAAGAATCTATACGCCATAGAAAAAAATGTTTGTTAGCACTTTTTGTGCAGAATGAACCATTTTCTCAGAAACAATTCTTGAAGCGATCGGCGATTTTGAATATCAGTTCCGCGCGTGAAATCAGTGTTAAATAAAATTTGTATAAACTCGACGGTAAAAAATCGATATCCTTTAATTAGAATGCAATACAGACAAAAATCAAAATGCATTTTAAAGGAGAAGAGTGCGGCTTTCGTAAGCAACTTTGTTATTTTGCTGCAAATGAAGTCAGCTTATATATTCTTCTTATCCCTAAGAACATTGGTGATCATAATGGCCCATTTGACTCTATCTGCAGCCGTTCTGAAAAGTTCTATTGATGTTTCCTCACTCCATTGTCTCAGATTCTTCAAACCAGGACATGCGGCTTCTCCCCGGTCCTCTTTTGCCTTCAACTTTCCCTTGTATGACTAGCCGCACCAATTCGTATTTCTCGTTTCTTAGTATGTGACCAAAGTAGCTCATTTTTCTTTACTTTATGGTGTCGAGTATTTCTTTATCTTTTTTCATTCTTCGTATCGTTTCCGCATTTGTTATGTGTTATGTTACGATAACACCACATTTCAAAGCTAATGAGTATTTTCTCTGTCGCCTCTGTAATTTTCCAGGCCCCAACTCTATATAACAGGACAAAGAACACGTAGCATCTCAATACTCTAGTTCTAATTTCAATTTTGAGTTTTCCATTGCATAATATGGCTTTCATCTTATTAAAAACACTTCTAGCTATCTCAATATGCCGTTTTATTTCCGTACTTCTATCCCATTCTTCATTTAGTTCGCAACCTAAGTACTGATATTATTCTGTGCACGTGCCTAAAAGTTTTCCTTTAGTATAAACACTGTCTTCCTTAATCTTGTTCGTGCTTATCACCATGATTTTGGTTTTATTTGTATTCAGTGCCATTCCATACCTTTCGCAGTATTAGGTAATGCGATCAACCAAGATCTATAGTCCTTCTCTGCTCTCCGCAAGGAGTATTGTGTCATCTAAAATTATTCAGAAGTGCTCCGGTAATAAATATGCTTTCATTTACGTCTTCTAATGCCTCTTTAAACAATTCTTCTGAATACATATTAAAAAGTAAAGGGGAAAGCACCCATCATTGTCTTACTCCACGATTTATAGGTATTTCTTTCGATTTTTGTTGGTCTATTCGTATTATGGTTTTCTGATATCGGTATAGATTGGTAATGATTCTCACGTCTTCATCATCTAATTCTGTGTTCTGCAGTATTTTTGCCATTCTTCAGTGTTGTACTTTGTCGAAAGCTTTTTCGAAGTCGACTATAAGTATAGACATATGAGTACGTCGCAATTGACATCTCGACATCGTTCGATTAGTGTTTGGACAGTAAATAATGCTTCTCTGGTGCCAAAGCCTTTTCTGAATCCCAATTGGTTTTCAGCTATTCTATTATCTAGCTTTTTATAGATATGTTCGTGTATCAGTCGTAAGAACACTTTTAAAATATTGTTCATCAAGCTAGTTATCCTGTGCTCTTCACACTTCATTGCGTTTGATTTTTTGGGTATTGGAATAAATATTGATATTAACCATTCTTTCGGAATCCGTCCCGTATAGTAAATGTCATTAAATAATTCTATTAGTGTGCCCATATGATTTTTTGTTCATATTCTTAAGATTTCTGTAGGTATTTCATCTGGTCCCATGGACTTCTCATTTTTTATACGTTTTAGCGCTTTCTCCATTTCGTCTTTGGGGATTGGTGGCCCATTTCTTCCTCTTGGTTCAATGACCTCAATTTTCTCGTCGTCTTCGAATAGCTTTATGTATTCTTCCCATCTCTTTATTTTTTCTGTACATTCCGTTATTATCTTATTATTTTTATCCCTGATATTTCCGATACCCTTCTTCTTGTATAGCCAGTTGTCTCTTTGATTTTCTGGAGTATGTGAAAACTGTCATGTTGTTTATCTAACCATTCTATTTCTTCACACTTTTCTGATAGCCACAGTTCCTTAGCTTCTTTGATTTTCTGTTTGATTATGTTGTTAATTTTTTTTGTACTGTTGTTCGTTTTTATTCTTGTGTGCCCTTCTTTCCGTCATTAGTTCTTTATCTCTTGTGTAATCCATTGTTTATTTTTAGATGATGTGTCGTAGTTCTCTGGTGTCTTCTTGAAGTTTTTGTTTTGTGATATTTTTCAAGATCGCCTCTACTTTCCTCCATTTATCTGTTGCTGTCAATTGCTTTTGCCTTTCTACTTCCTGAACTTCTTTGTGCACTTGTTC